TGGCCTGTTTTCTGTTATGTATGTAGATGACAGGCTTATGTGCCCTTTCTAACCCTGAGACACCTCCTGATGATAGCTTATGATTTTGAGCAGATGAAATTGTAAATATATAAGTTAAACTACCAGACTAGTCATTCAGTATGGCCATTAATCATTATGAGCACTAGGCTAGAAATAATAATTTCCTAAGAGGCTTAAGACATCATGGAAGTAGATGTTCACATTAACACTGGCTCTCATTCCTATTTTCACTCATAATATATATATTTATAATGAAAGTTTAAAATGTGCTCAATACTCATCAATTCACTTACTTGCAATAATATTTTTAGATTGTGACTCCAAGTTTCTGAATCTTAAGTCTTTTCAAAATTGATAACCATATGCTGGCCCCAAAGACATGTCATGCATAACAAATAAACTAGTACTAAAATTTTAATGAAGAAAGTTTATTAGTTAATTATACTACCATATATGCAGCTACTACCTACTGAGATATGTAATTTAATTCATTTAATCTTTGCCTCAATTTTACACAGTAAATATTAGAGTAATTATTATCCTTTTTTAGCTAAAAATTTGAGCATAACAAAAATTAAGTTGCTACACAACTTCAAATATGGATTCAGATATCAAACCAAATGCTATTTGATTTGGTTATTCCAAATACTCAGTGAACCGAATTAGGTTAGATTTCTGAAGAAATGTGTTTGTTCCATTTCAGGTCTTGCATATTGAGAGAAATATACAAATCTGAATGAATTCCAGAGATAGTACTGAAGCAAGAAATAGGAAAATATGCAGCATCAAAATTAGGTTTTCAAATTTTTGTCTCTCCTTTTAAAAAATTTTACAGAACAGTGAGAATTTTCTCATTATTTCTAATCACAGGAAATGTTCTGGTGAAATATGTTAGAGAAACTTGTTACCTACTCATTGTATGTTACTAGAAAACTATAATCTCCAAATTTTTAGATAGATAATTATAACTCTAGAAATACTATCCAAACTGTCAGTCAACAAAGAAAAATATTAGTCGTGGAAAAGTAAAATGTAGAAAAATGTATATTTTCAATGTTCAGCCAAAAATAGTGTTCCATTTCTCATTATAAAAGAAGAAGTTGAGAGAAAAATAGAAATGTTGGGAAACATCTTTATTATAGAAGGGTAAGATATCATTCATGAACATCATGGTCTTCCTAAAGCCAGCATGAAAACCTGAGTCCCTGTCTCAGAATTATGGTGGCCAAGTCACGATATTTCTCTGAGTCTTATTTTCATCAACTGTAAAGTGCAGGTAGACTTTCTCTCTCTCCCAGTATTTCCTGGAAGCAAATATTATAATCTCTTATAAGCCCTTAATAAGTAAACTCTACCACATTTATTTTCAGTGGAAAATGGTATGGTGCTCTTAGGAAGGTTGTCAAATGCTACAAACATTGAGCATTCTTACCTCTCTGGACACCTGAAAATGTAATACTCTTTTTTAAAACTGTTTTTTTAGAGATTCCTAATATGGTAGATGCTATGAGCTGAATATTCGTATTCCTTCCAAATTCATATGCTGAAGATCTAACCCCCCAATGTGATGGTATCTGGAGATATGGCATTTGGGAGGTAATTGAAGTTGGGTAAAATCTTGAGGGTCATATGGCCCTCATGAGTGGATTAGGGCCCTTCTGAGAAGAGATGCCAGACGGCTTGTTCTCACTCTCTTCCATACAGCTCACAGAGAGAAGGTGGCCATCTGTGAGCCAGCAAGATAGCGACTGCCAGAAACTTACCATGCTGGCACCCTGACCTCAGATCTGAACTCCAGAACTGTGAGAAAATAAGTTTCAATTTTTTTAAGTCACCAATCAGTGGAATTTACTTATGGCAGCCCTAGTAGACTAAGACAGTAGAATATGTTATAATGATGATATTTCAATTTTGTTGTTTAAAAATCAAAACAAAACTAGGATTGGGTTATTATGTCTGGATACTATAGACTTTTACCATTCTTACAAATGAAACATTTTTATTGTGAATTCTCAACACAGAACTGTAATTTAAAACTAACTCATAATTAAAAGGAAAATAAATAACTCCATGAGTTACTTATTAACTGTTGCAAGTGCAATAGTAAAGTTCTCAAGAGTGGGGAAATGTTCTATCTTCAGCCAAAATCATTCAACCGTAACTCGATCAAAGATAATATGCAGAATGCTGCCTTCAGTGAGACCACAGGACCAGAAGGCTTCCAATGGACACAAGCCAGTTCTGAGCCCTGCAGCTGATGGGAATTATCTCAGCACTTCAATTGCTGTTCTTTCCAACTCTTCTTACATATTAATGTCTACTTAAGTTCCCAAAGTTGCCCAAATGCCATTTATGTGGAGAAATGCTGTTTCTTTTTAAAGCAGAGTGAACTGAAAATCCCAAAAGAAACTAGGAGGAATTGTCCAAGTGACTCAATCAAATTTATCGATTGAATTTTCTGTTTTAACCAGGATCATCAGAGTGGAGTGATAAAGAGAAAACATGAATTAAAGCCAATGTTTCCCTGGTAATGTATTACTGGGGAGCAGAAATTAGTAGACAGAGAAATCACAGCTAATAGTTTGAAAGGAGATTATATAAATGACCTAGTCTATTTCAATAGCTCTTTCTTCCATAATATACTTAAGTTATTCTTCTAGTACATCTTAGAAATCCTCCTACTTTCCAGGTATGGACTGAAAAATCACTAATTCACATAGCTTACAACCTCTATTTTATACTAATGGACCAGACTGACATGAAAAAAATTTCATCAAAATGTAAAAAATATTACCTTTGTTTGTATATTAATAAGATTTTATTTCATATTAATTTTTATTTAGAAAGTAAATGAATGTCTTGAATCTATGCAATTTTATTTTATTCTTTAATAATTTTAAAGTTTGTCTCTGCTATGTTTCAAATTGTTTTTCATGGAAACTAAATTCCTCACTTTTTTTCCTTTTCATATTTTTTGTATTCTAGGTTATGACAAGATATTTATTATAGTTCCCTGTGCTATATGGTAGAACCTTGTTGTTTATCTTTTTTATATACAGTACTTTGTATCTTTTATCAGATCATTTTTAGAGATATTTCACTGTTTCTATGAATTTGTAAACTAATTATAACAAAAATTTTATAGTGCTGAAGTATATGAAAATATCACCTTGAGAAATACATACTGCCCTGGATTTCAGATGAAGATAACTGGATATTTTAATTGTATAGAATTAAGATATTTAGTGGACTCAAAAGAAAATAATTCATTATATTGTTATATAATCAAAATGGACTTTATATTCAAAGAAGAAACCTGAATAAGTGATTCATAATCCTGTTTCAAGTTTTCTCTAGCATTTGTTTTCATGCAGTTTCAGAAATTAAATATTCTCATTTATTTCTACCATGCTTCCCATATAAAATTCTAGATGATTATAACTATAAACTCCAGGTAATTGAATAAAAGCAATTTTCCATTTCTATAGAAGAATGGCTTTTAAAATTCCTATTGATCCTTTACTTCCTATGTAAAATCATATGTTCAAATTGAGTTCCTGTAAAAATTGGTACATTTTAACTCACATTTAGTACCATCGTGCTTTCAAAACCACAGCATAATTTCCCTCTAAATGCTCTTTGTATTAAAAAAAAAGCATTTTAGTACAACATTATCCCATTTTCAAAAACATTTATTTTGAAGTAATCAAAGATTCACTATATGTTGCCAAAAAAAAAAAAAGTTCAAGGAGGTCCTGTATACTCATATTCAGCCTGTTCCAAAGATAACATCTCATGATTAAAGTATAACATCAAAACCAGAAAGTTGGTATTAATTATTAGTTATACCCACTCATTGCTGAGATAAATGAATTAATAAATTTTCTCTAAACCTTTTCCATTTTACACAAATACATCTTTACATATGTAGGTGTATAAATATGGGCGTGCATGTGTGAATGTGTGTATAAATAACTATATTAAATATCTGAAAATTAGCTCTCTCTTCCCTACTTCTTTCACATAGTATAAGTATTCATTTATAAGTGCTACTGTTTAAGACTATTCTTATCCAAATATTGAAATCATACTACATTTACAATCATCCTTTGCTTCTTTGTCTTACTTCTTCTAAAAGTAAGTTTATCAATAATAATTAACTGGACAATAAGCATTCTTCATCTGGACTTAATATAATGTGATGAATTTAATATTGTTTCAGGTGTCTAAAAATGCTCTCAGAAATACCACATTGGGAGGACAAGTTAGGGATTTGTTTGCTTTAAAGAATCTGGAACAAGTACTTCAGGAAACTAGTAATATTTAATAACATATTATACAGCTCCTCCTTGGAATTTACTTAGAGTTTAATGTTTCATTGTCATTTCCAGGATTAGTTACCAATATCCGTACATGACAGTGTTTATAAAGTTATTTTTAAGTCATTAATTTCATAATTCTTATGACAATGGTATGGCTAAATTTCACATTCCAGTTTTTGTGGAATAAATTATCTATAACACTGATGTGAAATTAACAATAAAACAAATATTCTGGTTTTTTTCCCTTCTATTAATCTGCCTAAGTAATCTTGGATTTGAGGTCCAATGTGCTGTATTTTACATTTGTATCCCCTTATTTAGACATGGGTAGGGAGGCACCAATTTCATTTTAGTCTTCGATTTTCTTCAAGACTGGCTGTGTTTATAAAGCATCATTAGTCTGACAGCAAGCAGAAGGAGCCTGGGCATCTTTAGTTTTGTGTCAGAAAGGAAGATGAGAAAAAAAAATCACATTGGGATGTGGACAATATTTTCTGTTTTCAGGATGTGAACCAAGAAGAGAGGCAGAAAAATATGGGGCAAAGCTTTGTATCCATTCAAGCTTTAATATTTCTAACTTGCTGAGGTCTTTAGGAATGACAGAATACATTTACAGGCAATCTGAAACTGGATGAATGGAGAAAATTATACCATTGGTCAGTCTGTTTGATAGTGCCCAAGGAAATATGACCAGATTGGTGATGGTCAGTGGAAAGGAAGAATAGCAGGATGATAGGATTAGGAGATTTTCTCGCTCATTTAATGTTTCCAATATCCATGCAAGTTTGCCATTATTACCCTTACTTTAAAATTACAAAAAAGGAAAGTTTAGGAAAGTTAAGTAACTTACCTAAAGCTGCAAAGGTAGCAATGATCAAAGTCAGAATATGAATTTAATTGTGGGTTCTCCAAAAACCTCCAAATTGTTCCTTTCCCTGTAGCAATGGGAGACTTCTTTGTTTTCAATAAATCCTGAAAAATAAATATAAAAAGACATAATTATTATTTTTGGATTAATGTCAAATCAATTCATATGAAGAGAGGTTGTTTTCTAGGAACATGACAATTAGTAAAAAGGAATACATTCAAACAGTTCTAATAATTGAATTATATGTATGATTACAATCTCCAGAACTCTAGGTGGGCCAGGGATTCATCACTGACAGATACTTGACCAATCACATATACCCTCTCACACACCTGTCTAACCTCTCACATACCTGTCTGCATTGTCCAGCTGGGACTTTTCTTTCCTTATCATTACTGTCTATTCTGTGAGTACTTAAAGAATCTGAACTGATGTTTTGGGAAATTAAGAGGAGGCTGATGAATGTTCTGGACCATTGACATGTGTTAGAGTTGATGGGTGTTGAGCCAAATTTCACAGGACATGAAATTATTCTTCTGCTAGTTAATGACCAGGCCCCAGAGGCAGCATGTTCCTTGTGAGCCTACCGAAAACCTCACCCAACCATTACAAAAATGGCCTCTGTATTCACACAAGGAGGATATCACATGTTTACTTGAATGACAAATTAAAAAAACAAAAACAAAAACAAAAACAAAAAAAACTGAACATAGTTTCCCTATTGTATTATTGTTGTAATGCTCCCAATTTGCCTCTAGACATGTGAATTTTTATGTTCACCAAAGTAAGATTTGGGAATTGTGGGATAAAAACAAAACACAAAAGTACATATTCTGTGGTATATTTATACAATGGAATACAACATCAGCCATAAAAAAGAATAAAATAATGCCATTTGCAGCAACATGGATGGACTTAGCGATCATCATTCTAAGTGAATTAAGCCAGAAAGGGAAAGAAAAATACCATATGATATCAATTATATGTGGAATCTAAAAAAAAGAAAAAGAACACTATGAACTCATCTACCAAATAGAAACAGACTCGCAGACATACTAAACAATCTTATGGCTACCGGGGAAAGAGGGTAGGAAGGGATAAATTTGGGAGTTTGAGATTTACCAATGTTAGCCACTGTATAAAGATAGATTAAAAATAAATGTCTTCTGTATAGGACAGGGAACTATGTTCAATATCTTGTAATAACATTTAATGAAAAAGAATATGAAAGTGAATATATGTATGTATATGCATGACTGGGACATTGTGCTCTACACCAGAAATTGACACATTGTAACTGACTGTACTTCAAATAAAAAAGTGTATATTCTAAGATCCTATGTCAGTGTAGCTACACACATGTATATGTAACCCGGTCAGTGATACAAGTGCTCACACACACATATGTATGCACATTATATTAAAAATATACACTAGAATATGAGCTCCAAAGAGGGCAGGGACTGTCTCACCTTTGTGTTCTCAACACAAGGGTACCCACCACAGAAAAAAACATTTCTTAAACAATCGTGTATCCTGGTTGTGTATGTTGGACATTTGGTTTCATATGCCCTAGATATTTTCTCTGGGCCCCTTAAGATCCACTTGCCACTGTCCACCACTCTTCTCTGTACCATGTGGAGCTAACTCCAGGGACTTCGTCAAAGGGCTTTCTTGCCCTCTGGCTTCCAGTATGGTTTAATCATTGGTTATCATTTGTTAGAGACTGGAGGACATAGAAAAAACATATTCCCACCTCCTCCCTCCTTGAAGGTTCATAAGAGTTTGGCACGGGTGTCTACCAAAGGCCACAGCTTCTGTCAGGGAGGTCATGCAATCCTCAGAGCTATAACTTCTTTCTCAGTCTCAGGGACTGTTCCCTCCATTTGTATCTGAAGCCTACAGGTGGTTGAAGCTCCAGATAATTTAGGTCAACCCTTTATAGTCCCCATTAATCCCAGCCACATCTTCATAAATAATTCCTTTATTAAACTCCATTCATTTTAAAATTTGATTATGCCACGTGTCTCCAACTAAGTGTTACAAGATACCTCCTTTATTTTTCTAAAGCTTCTGAAGTCAGACTTCTACTTTAGTCTCCACTCTCACCTGAATAAACTATGCTAATGTTAATAAAAGCCCTAGTTTGTCCAAAAGCAAGAATTCTTGCTGAGATTCTCTGCTTGTTGACAGTTTACCCTTCCAGTTCTAAGGGGGTCCTGCTGTATTTTCCCTGTTCAAAGCAAAGAAGGTGTCAGATGAAGAGCAAAATCACAGAAGACTTCAGATAAAGGAAGAGACTATAGAACATGATGCACACAAATACTTCTGTAAAGATGAATCATTCCACCTGGTAGAACCCAAATAGGTAAACAACAAGTAACACAAAATTACCCTGAAACTACTGTGCCGTGGACCCAGGTACACGTGGCTTCATTCTTTTTACTTCCCAGAATTTGTAGTTTTCTTATCACTTGCTTCTTCTACTAGCAACAATAAACAGAAATCAGTGAAAAGAATCACTCATTTTATAACTCTTTTCCTCCGAAATCCTCCAAGACAGACTTCTCTTTTCCTGATAAAGAATTCCTCCAAAGAGTTTTAAGAAATCACCTTCTTGCTTAACAGATTTCTTTTTACTCCAACTGCTGTTAACTTTTTCTCCTCTGATTCTTCAAATTGGTGTGTTTTCAATTCAGACTTCTTATCAAGGCACATTATTCCACAATCTTATTCCTCTATTCCTTTTAACTGCTAAGAGTCCCCGTAGCCCTCCACAGATCTCAACTATGTGCCTAAGAGTCACGTTGTTTCAAGTCTGCAAACCTCACTGGAGGAATGAAATAATTGCAAGTGTGATGCCAGGCACTATACACACAGTAACATCACACTCCCCAGCCCTCTGAGGGGATAGCGTACAGCTCTGGTGTAAGTGACTAAGAGGTTGTTTCCTTCTTAGATAGCAGAGACCTCACAAAGTTATTGCTCAGGGACTACTGTATAAGGAAGTTCGAGACATGCATTATTAGCCATTTTCCTCTATTCTTCTGACACAATCTTATCTCCAAAATTATTTCTAATGTATACCCCATGGAAAGAGTATAACTTCTTAGAAACAAAAAAATTCCAAAAACATAAATAAAAGGATAAAATAGAAAATACATCCAAGTCAGTTTTGATAAGCTTTAAACTGTCTTACTCAGGTACTAATTAGGACCAAATGTAGGCTTGCAATATGCTTTATCTTAGTGTTCAATGATTTCTTTCATTGTTATGATACTGGAACACGTTTCATTCAGAATTAACCCAAGTTACGTTTTTCAGGTGAGACAGATGTTTTAGTCACTTTGGAATTTGAGCTTTTAGAGGAAAGTCAAAAGCCACTTGTATGTCGATTTTTCAATTAATATACTGTTACAGTTAGGTTAATTACTAAATTAGTTATTCACACCAAGACAATTATGAAATTGTCTAATTCTGCCAAAGCTGAAAAAACTGACTAAAAACTAAGTGAAATAATATGAATTTCTCTCTTATCAAACCTGATACTTGACCTTCAAATTCATATCCATTTAATCTAATCATGATGATTCTTTATTTCCTTAATCTTTAGCTTTGGTTCATCAGAAGACATTGAGAAGTTTGTCAATGATCAAATTGAATTTTATAATTAATAGAAATAGCTTTCAAAGCAATTGTCTTTTAAATATTGTAGCTAAAAATTAAGAGGACTGATGTTAGATTAATAAACATACATTTATTATTATGCATCAGGTATTGCTCTAAGTGCCTAACATATCTTTTAATGAATCCTCAAAGTTACCCTAGGATGTAAGTCATTATTATCGTCATTTCACAAATAGGAGGATAGGAATTAGAAGATTAAACAGCATGCCTTCATAGCAGACCTGGAATAATCATAAAAGAGATTCACCCCTGCCCAAGACCATGTTTCTATCCAATATGCTAAATTTCAAATATGAAGAAAACTAATTTTTGTTAAATAATTTGTAGGAGTTCTTTTCAAAGTCCCAAGAAAATCACTGGTATATTTTAAATCAGAATTCAGTTATCTCAGCAAATACTTTCCTTTTCTATTTTTTGCATTAGCACAAGTCCACCAACTGATGCACATGACTACAAGAGTTTCAAGATAAAAGTATATTTTTAGTATCCATAAATCAGATATCTAATGACCAAGTACATAGTGTTTTAAATTCTAAAAGAACCATTTAAACATCACTACAGCTCTTATTTAATAGTGCTATATTTTTAAATACAAGCTTTAACTGCTTTTGGTGTTTGAACTCAAACTTGAGGGAGTTCAATGTATTTACATCTCTAAGACCCATACACGTAAAATTATAAGACAAAGTTAGAATCACAGGTCTTGTCTCTTGGCCATCACAAATGGGAGCAGATGTAGACAAACACCTGTCTCTTTCATTCATTTTGGCTTCAGTCCCGTTTTCTCTAAAAATTCTCTCCAGGGTCTGTATTCAGTTGAGGCCAATAACTGGTTATATTGTTTTCCTTTATTGTAGGATAGTCATTCTATTTGATTTTCTTCTAGAACAGTTTTTAATTTTTTTTTCAGTTTTAATCTTTCTTATTTAAGTATGGAACAGTTTTTATTTTTAATTTTAATGAACATAAAGTTAATTTTGATTAAGGTTTCTTTCTCTAATTATTGTAGCTTATATGGAAATAAGAAAAATCACTGATGAATATTAGTAAAGATTTAAATTATAATAACAATGATGCAGTAAACTAAATTAGAAGAAATGTGACAGATTGGGAGTACCTGCAATACCCAAAATGGTGGCAAAATATAAAATATATGAAGAGTACCAAGAAATTAATAAGGAAACACTAGAGAGCTTAAGAAAAATATGCCACATATAAAAACCAACCAACTCACAGTAGGGGATACATAAATGACCAATAAATATATAAAAATATTATTTCATAAAGAATCAAGAATACAATATTAAAGTGACAAATATTTTTTAACATTTATGTTTCAAAAATGAATAGACTGATAATATCTGGTATAGGAGAGATTTGGGGGAAATGTCCTATTTAACTTTCAAATTGCCAAAAT